CCAACAGGAATGCAGAGCAAAAGATAGCTTTAATGCGAGAACAAAACAAGCTAGCTCCGCATTCCCGTTTCACCCGTTGGTCTCCTACAAACAGAGACGAAATTATGACCTTTATAGTAATTTAATATTACAGGGACTATATCTTTACTTTTAATGGCTTTGGTACATTCCAATACTTTGCGAAAATAATGTCATACAATCGTTTTCTATTGTTAAAAAGTTTTCTTCATTTCGTCAACAATGACACTTTGTAGACACGACCAGACCAAACGGGAACGATGCTATTGACAGATTTGACGATGATGAGACAAGCGACAGACTTACGACTGGTGGAAGCGCAGACCGTCCCACGAGCGCTACTGCCGTAATTGTCTATAACTTAATCCAATCACTACTTCACCTTGGCGAGCGTCCGGACACTGAGCTATCACGGCTCTATTGACATCCGATAAGGTTTGTAATTTATTACTTTATCCTCAGGCAATCTGATTGTCATCTCATTATCACAGTTGCCCAACTCCATGCCTTTTCTAGGGATCATCAAATTCGTTCAAAGGAGAGGTAAGAGAGTCTCTCTGACTCTCGGTCAACTGATCACCTATTTTAGATACGCAAGTTTCAAATTCAACCAATTCAGCTCTAGCAATACAATCAGCACTCTTTAGAACAACAGTTTCATTAGTTAGTTTAATCACTGTTGTACCATCCTGATTTATTTTTAGGGGGAGAATTTTTTCGGTAACATTTTTAGGAATAAAATTTTATACACATTGCAAAAAAAATTAAAAAACAAAAATTTTAAACACAAAATATAATATAATAGTACTGGCTGCTTGGCCTATGTAGTATTTTAAATTGTACCGCCATAAACTCTTACTGTGAATATACGTCTACTTATTTAATATACTATATTGTTAGAGGAATAGTGAGACAACGTCACCATGGAGGGAAGTGTGCGGCACCGTTAACTTGTTTTAAGAAGAAAACCTCTGCCCGATGGAAAATGTCAAACTGCTTATGTTCTGATTTTGAATTGGATAAAATTCAAACACTCCACCTCTGGTTCCTAACAATATATTAAATTCAAAATATGCTGCTAAGTGGGAAAAAGACAATGGATTAAAAGTATAAATAATCTGCGCTCGAAACTATATCATATTTATCTAAAAATTTACAATTTACGTTCAATATTTCAGTTTACTCAAAAAATATCTCATTTATTATGGATCTCATTTGGAATTCAACTGTTTATTTTTTTGCAGTTCGGCCGTGACGGATTCTCTTCGCGAGATGAAACTGGCGAGGAAGGCGGATACGCGACGGATGGCAGCGCTATCGACGGAAGCTCGTCAACAGCTACTAGAGCTAAAGCGACGTTCTGATTTGGAGCGGATGCTGTTGCCAGATGCGCCACCTCGCAAACGGCAAACAAAGTATTTTTTGTTTCTTCCAATCACTTCTCTGAAGTCGAAACTGTCAACTTGGCTTCAAATATAATAATTATTTGCTTAATTATTGATTAATAAGTTATTAATTGTCCAGGCGGGTATCTCCAGAACGTCAGCAATGCGTAATGGTTGCACCAGTCGACGAGCTATGTGACGGTTAGATGATTATTTCAGAATCAAGTAGTATTTTGTTGTTTAATGAACAAACAAAATGCATAAAAAAATCTTTATCGTAACATGTTTGTTGCAGAATTCAACCCCGTAGAGCCAACTCAGGTCGTGGCCTCGACGTCCAGAGAAGCTGAATTTTTGGGAAGATTTTTATTTCAGACAGGTGATTCATACTTCATTAATCCTTACTAATATTATAAATGCGTTAGTTTGTATGTATGAATGTATGTTTGTTGTTATTCTTTCACGCAAATACTACTAAATAGATTCTAATGAAACTTTACAATAATACTACATCAGAAATAATTACAACTATACATCAAAAATAAGACATAGGGTATAATTTATATACATATTTTATGTATATATATATATATATATATATATATATATATATATTTCTGTCTGAATGTTACGCCTTCAGCCGATTCTATGCAGACGTAGGCGCGGGCAGCAGCTAGTACTAAATAAATTGTTTGTTTTAGAACTTAACCTAGCTGAGGTTGAAGCGTCGACGTCCCGCTATATATTTATTTTACACAACATTCTATTTGTACGTATGTTCTTGTTTAATATATGCTATATTAAGACTTATTCAAAACATTTCCCCATAGAACCCGCCACGACTTCTGGGTTGGCCCGTTCTTCCTGCCGAGCAAATGTTTCTATCGAAGATGGTATGTTATGTGTAATTCGGTATCATTATAAAACTTAAAAAAAATGTGTTCTACAAAAGTCCGTTTGTTACAGTTTACGAATCGTCAATCTCCGAAGACGGAATGGGGGGTATGTCCGACGCCGAAACAGTCTCGGCTTATAGCTCTCCTAGTCCTTCCTCTCCAAATCCCTATATCATGCTGAGGAGGTCCTTTAAAAGCCCTTACC